GGCGGCGTAAAATAAATAGTTTTTCCCATGCCCTGTTTTCCGATTTTTTCGCATTTCTTCTGCTGCTTGTTGTGTAATTTATTAAATGGCAGTCGGGAGAAAGAGGTGGATGACTCCCTTGTGAAGTTACAGGGCATTTTGTCAACGGCTGGGAATTTTTATATTGCCATCGAATTTTGGCCAAAAGTATTTCACCAATATTGGCAAGATAGAGATACCAGACTCAGACTCAAACTCAAACTCAAACTCAGACAATTGTTTGCCAATATTTTAGCCAAAATGGGAAGTGGGAATATGGGGAAGTTTCCAGGGCGTGGAAATGAGATTGGGTCTGAGAATGATTCTCGTTTTCGACATCTGCCAGAACGGAACCCAGAATACTTTCTTCGTCTGTCGTCGCAGTCTGGCCCGTTCCATCTCCTTGGCGGCAACTTCCGCTGCTTTCCCACGACCGTGAAAGTGTTGGCCCTGGCACAAAAGTCGGCTTCTGGCCCGCCTTGGTCCGCTCATCTCCATTCCGGTCTACTCGCTTGGCTGGCCATTGTTGCATTGTCAGATACACTCGCACACACTCCGAGGAGGCCACACACAGCGGGCTTAAAGTCGCGACTGTTTGCCCAGCATAACGAGATCCCTTTAGGAAGCCAAAATCAAACATGCCCACACACAGTACCAGTGCCACAGGAACAAATCTGAAGATACACTCGGGAAAATACATTTCTTAGGTAACAAGAAAACTAAAATCGAGTAGTAAATAACATTTAAATTGACTAAAATCTAGCCCTTATTGCTTAGTACAATTTGTTTTTAAAGAGAATGCAGTTATTGTTATGTGTACCCAAATAAACATTTGTAGTCTCGTGGATCACACCGAAATACACTGTTGATGATGTCAAATTTGATAATTTATAATTGCATCAATTATCGACATAAACATTTTTAGGAAGATTTATTGGGTTTCATTAAATTAAATTTATTATTCTATATCAGCTGTCATAAGAACATGAACCCGCGTCTGCATTAAACCTTATGTATATGTCCGTTTTGGTATGACTTCTTTTAAAACTTATTTTTCGTATTTTAAAGAGTCAAAATCTGAGTGTATTTTAAGGGAGAAAAGAAAGGGGAAGTTGGGGACTGGCAGCATCAACCCTCGGCTTAGATTTCCACCCATCCGCTGTGCGCCACTCAAAAATGCAGCCAGGCTACTCAGAAGTCGATTCTGGGCACGGCCATTCTTTTCCATTCGGGGTTGCTGTCTACTGCCTGCACCCTGCAAGGAATCCAGCCTTATCCAACATAAAGCTATTAGATATCCTCGCATGTCCATGTCTGTGTGTGCTTTTTTATGTGTTTTGGTAATTCTGTAAACAAATGAGTGGGATCTGGGCAGATAGCTATAATATTCGAACTGGGGGAGCTCTAGGCTAACTTAATAAGTATCGCATTAGAGCGGAGGAATGGGGATGGCAAAATGCGATGTTTGAAATAGAAGATGCTCGTATTTTTCTTTGACGCGTTCAATTTACGTTGCCCCATCATTGATGAAGAAATGTGTTTATGTTTTATTACTATTATCTCTGGAGTTTTCTCCAAGTTGTGGGCATATTATTTCAGAAACCTACTATAATCGTTTTTTGAGATCGTTAGAGACACTATGATTTTCACTCATAAGCGTCACAAATAAAATGTTGTTTAATCTTTTCTATCAAACGTTAAAGTCAGCGAAGTTGGAAATCAATTAATACAGTAAAATTCGCAGGATCTTAAATAAAATAAATAACGTTTATTTTCGGTCCCTGCATTATTTTAATAAACTCTGCACAAACTTTCAGTGATTTATGATGTCTGTCATCAATTATCTTCAATGCAAATTGCCAGAAAAATATAACTAGGATGAAGCCTTAATAACTTAATAAAAAGAAAGTGTATGTTAAAGTTTCTTTAGAACATGACTGTTATTTAAGTTGCAAGTCCTCTTGTCATGGAACTGTATTAAAGTATAAAGTCAATGTGGATCTATATTAAAGTATAACAGTCGCTAAATTTATACAAAATCATTCCGAGTTCTACGTTAAAGGGCTGACTGTTAAATGAGTATCATTAGGTTTCTAAATTCAGTTTGCATTCGCCCAGCATTAACCCCCTCCTTAACGCAACCACTTTGAAATAGTTTGGGTCCCTGGCGAGCGAATAAAAACTGAAAAGGGACCTCACCGCTGACGTAATAAGCAATACTTAAGACCTAATGCAGGGTATAAAATATGCGCAGCATTCGCAGTCACCTCGCTCCACGCCTCCACGAATATCCTTGGATGCCCAGGACACAAGGGTTGCCCGTTCGCAGTCGTCCTTTTTCCTCGGGAAAACCCTGAAAACCCTGTAAACGGTCGCCTGCAGTGCGCGTTTCTTTTGCCGCTGCTGTGATTTTTGATTTAAGCATAATTTTGCAACAATTTCGCTGGGTTCTTTGGGGCTGCCCGCTGTGAGCTCTGAAAAATTTCAAACATTTCTTCAAGGGATTTGCGCAATTTTCCATTTTTTTTTTTACCCTGTTTGTGTGTGTGTTTTTTTTTTTCCCTTCCATCATCTGTCTGCTGGAGATGCTGCCTTTTTTTTGTAGGGCTCCCCCTCTGTATTACTCGCATTTAAATGGTTGGCAAATAAACAGGCGAACATTTTGCATTTCCATTTCATTGCGTTTGTCTTAAGACCTCTGTCTGAATGTCTGCGGCAGCTTCTCGGTTTTATTTCCTGCTGCCATTGTCAACTCGGCGTATGATTAATGCGTCAAAGAAGGGACAGCTGAACGGTAGTGGGAAACCTGAAGACCTGAACCCCGGAAACTTGATCTCCATTGTACCCCAAACTCACGCCCACAGCCAACCCGTTTAATAAATGACATCAAAAATTAAAATTCGCCGCCGCCGGAGCGTAATTCAAATTTACTAAAGCAATAGAGAGATATGCATCTGGTGGGATGTATATCAAAAAGGTGAACCAGGCAACCTAATTTGACACTTGCCGCCACTCGAGCAAGTTTCACTTCTTTTGCAAGGACAAAAAAAAAAGGGAACAGAAAAAGGCATCGTGGATCCATGGCGTTGTTAGTGGTAACGAGTCAAGTCCAAAAGGGGTGCTCAGTGGGCGCTCGGAAAACCACTCGACTTTTTTCCAAAGCCAAAACATGCCTCGATGGTTCCATCCTCTAATGAAGGGATTATCAAGCATTTTAAATTAAACGGGTCCAGCAGTGCGAATATCAGGCACTTTAATGAGATTCCAGAAGTTTGAATTATTCACCTATTTAAGAGGCCTGTTTTTTAAAATTGTTGAAGGGGAAAAACTGAATTATATATTTCGGGTAGCTAAAACCGTTTTATAAAATATGCTATGATATTTTAGGGAGCTTGATCTTTATCTTTTATGTCTGCCTAAAAATTAACAATTTAGATAGAAAACTTTGCTATGATATTTTTAGATAAATAAGAAATCAACTAAAGATTTGATTTTACTGTTTTCTGACTACTCAAATATTAAAAAATGAATAGTTTAAAAAATAAATTAAAGTGCAGAAAAAAATTGTTTACCTAAAGAGTCTTCCAAAAACGTTGATTTGCCTAGAATCAAAAAAATTAAATGCGAAAATTGATTCCATGGTGTTTCCAAGGTTCATCATCTATTTTGGTGTTATATCTCTTATTTAATTTCGAATAAATTACAATTTCATAAGCATTTGCTTTGGGATCGATTGTGGGCATCGCTAACAGTTGGCAAACATCGTCATCATCATTTTTGACGGAGGGTGACACACTCATCTGCCACATAAACCCCCAAATAACATCCGCCCGCTGAAAAGTATGCTACACACTCTTGCCCACACTCACAAAAATAAAGGGAAGCAACTTCAAAGCCAGCCCTTGGCAATTTTCAATTAAAAACGCCTACAACGCGACTGCTTTCGCATGTTTCCTGCCGCTGCCATAGAAATGTTGTGTTTTTGTTTCGCTTTGTTTGCCCTGCAAACCCAGCCTGCGGGAAAATTCCGCTCCTGTGCGACTCACTCCACTGCTAACTTTCCGGATAGGCCTTCGTGGCGCAGCTTTAATGTTGGGCTTGGAGCCATTCTAGAAAAATATCACGACATGGAATTGCACTCGCACTGATGGAGATTACTGAAATATGGCCCGAGGCAATGTGTCAAGTGTCGGAGATTCGTCTGCCAGCCCTGGTTTTCCATCAGCGGAGCACTCCCGTCTCCAAACTTGGTCAAGTGTGGGCCTCTGTGTGTCCCAGCAGCTGCTCAGCAAGTTTTTCCTTCACTTGGCCTTCTTTTTGTTCTACATAAGCCTACATATTAAACTACAAGTTGTACAAAAGGTTTAACAGGGACCCCTGAAAAATATAATATAGATGTAATCTATAAAGCACTGACAAGTGTTGTAGTATACTTGAAAGAAAACCCCTCCATGTGAAGAAAATTAATTGGTTAATAGAGAAATACGAATTTTCAATGCATAATTGTAAACTCAGAGATAGCGTTCTTGGTTGATTCTGCTGATTACGATGCATACATATGTTTAATATGCCATTTTTCTTTCAGTATTTTTGAAAGCTTTTGAATATCGTTTGAGTCAGTCAAATTCTTCAGATACGAAATGAATTACCCAAGATATGGAAGTTTATTATTTTTAGTTATTTGTTAAATTAAGCTGCTTTTGGCAGACTTCTTTCTAAAAGTATTTAGAGATAGAAAATATTTCAATAACTACTTTCTGAAATACGGTAATAGCAGCACCGAAAAGCGAATAAAAATAAATGGTTTGGTAAAGCTATTTTCTTTTTTGGTACCTTTTTATCTATAGCTCCTATACCTGGCCAAACCTCTAACTATTACAACTTTAAGCATTGAAAATGTCTGTGATGTACTTGATTTATCTATTGGATGCACTATTGCAGGCGAATCTATACTAATTTGTCTCACTCTTCTCCCTTTGCAGTCGCGCACATCCTTGGTGTCGAGCTCGGAGGGTGGCATCCTGGCCGAGGGCGAGACGTCCAGCGAGGACGACGAGGAGGAGCCCGTGGAGGCGGAGGACGAGGACGAGGACGACGGCGAGGAGAGCAGCCGGGACTCCAGCGACAACTCGCCGCCCTGCGATCTGGGACTCATGGAGCGCCTGCTGCTGACCCATCCGATGTGGTTCCTGCCGGGGATCCAGCGCTCCGGGGCCGTTCATCTGCTCCAGGGCAAGGAGGAGGGGGTGAGTGCTCCTGCCGATAATTATAATTATTAATTTATTGATTTAGCTTAATAAGGCAATTTGGTGAAATGCAAAAAGGGGCGATGCGGGGCGGAGCTGTTTGACAAACACATGTGACCACACAAATTTGCACAACAATGAAAGCGGCAAAGCAAAAAAAACACAAGGACAGGAGGATTCATTCATTTGCAGCAAAATTTACATATACAAATTGCAATCAATTAACGAGCAGCGGGTCCTGCGATGTCCTGTGATGTCCTGCGTAGCCAGCATAAACACAAACACACACGGGTAGCAAGTGGGTGGGGAAGATTCATTAAAATTACGACAGGACAACAATGCCAAGCCCTTTTAATTGTAAATGTATAAAGATAAACAAAGAAATGTAGCCAGGACCCTAGAACCAGGACGAGAACGAGGACTAGAATCAGAACTCTGCTGCGTTTGCAAATTCATTGAAATTTATCTGACTCGAGCAGCAAATGGTAGACAATGGGTATGAAGAATGGGATTGGCAGAGCCATGTAGTATGAGAAACGAGCACCCATTCACAAAAGGCGACAAAAACAAAAGCCAAACCAGCAATGGTCAGCAGGCAGGGATTGATAAAAAGAAAGGAGCAGGAGCTGGACTATAGATGGCCCAGGACCTCGAGTCTACACTGAGGGAAAAATACCATGTAAAAGCAGGATTATTTCTTGCGACTTAGGGCCGATTTCTCACTATCATGTTAGGGTTCTAGCTTGTAATCCGTGAGAGAAAGATGTCATGAAGGTAAATTGTTTGGAAAGAGTACTTCGTTTTCTTAATGCTATGTCAATTTTTCGAACGACATATCTTTCGGACTGTCGAAACCTAAAAAAAACGAAAGTATTCGAATATTTCTTTAAATAATTCGTACATAATATTTCAAATGTAAATGTTGCCAACACAGTAACCTTACATCACATTAAAGAAATGGCCCTCGGACTTAGATTGTCTTCTAATTAAATAGAATTTCATTTAAAAACCCTAAACACTTTTCTTAGTGTAGAAAGTGTGGGCTGAATATTTTGCGATTCAAAGCTCCTTTGCATAGACAATTGAAATTACGAGAACCCGGGTGAAACAGGCAGATAGAATAGAACAGGTAATGGCTGCGGAAAAAAGAGAACTCGGATTGGAGAATGGAATGTCCAACAAATTGTACAGATTCAATAAGGTGCCTTCTCCCCAACTCAACTTGAACTTGGAGACTGAAGCAGCAATTATCACGTGTTCGCCGATTGGCAGGAAACTCATTAAAGTAGCAAAATGTTTACCCCCCTTTTTCAGTTCTAATCATTTAATCAGTATTTTTTGAGCCAATGTTTACTAACAAAAATTTTTTTCAATTAGCAACTTTGTTTATGTGAACTTTCTTGCAATTTTCAACTTGCTATTCAACTCGAAGAACGAGGATAATAAATCGAGAAACCGAGAAATTAACATGTTGCTTTTTTTTAACATTTGAAAAGTGTTAACAATTCAAAAAATTTGAACATTTTAAAACTATGTGCCCAATGTTCTTTGTTTTGTGAATATCCACTATGGTAGGGACAACTCCGACCTGCACATGAAAATCGGAAACGGCACGTGCACTCTTTATTTGAATGGATATCTTTTCTCTGGTTCCCTCGTTTTTTGCTGCCAGCTTAGCAATTTTCAATCGTCGAACGCGCCGTAACAATAGCTCATTGATTGCAACGTCGGCCCGTTTGCCTCTTGCAAGCCCACTTCAATTCTCACTCCTGCCCACCCACACTGAGGAAAAAATCTAGTATTTTTTATACTTTAATTTATAATATTAAGGGTACTTAAACCATTTGAATTATGGAACCTGTAAGATTTTTCTTTGTAAGGCTCACAACTTATTGCAAACCTATTAATATGGGTTGGTGGTTTCTTTCAGTAGATTTTTGATGGTTATTATTATGGTTATTATTGTATATTATTTATTTGCTTAACGTTACAACCAAATGGTTTACGAAGAAAAATGTATTTTAATTTAAAATAAAAAGGTTTCTCCAGTGCAATACAGTTTGTGGGGATGTGAAAAGTTTTTCGCCAACTTTTGCATTTTGCTGCTTGCCTTTTCAGTGCGTCGTCGTGTCTCGGAAATTGTCTGCAGTTCCACCTGCCACGACTGCCGTCTCTTTTTTGCCCCATTGGCTGCTCCTTTTTCCATCCATTGCTAATTGCATGCGTCAACGGGAGCAGCGGCATCGGCATCGGCATCTGTATCGCTGCTGCCTCAATTATACTGGCGAACGCTTCGGAAAAGTCCTTAAATCCCATTAGGATGCAGGATGCAGGACGCACTCCTCCCTCGCCATTGTTTATGCGTTTAATAAAAAGCCATTTAATTGAAATTGAAGTAGTCCCCCGCCTCCGACCATCATCATCATCTGGCCTGCAATCGGAGTACAGTATTCGCTCGCTTCATGTGTAGTTTGTAATTAAAAATCAATCAATATGTTCGAACTGGACACACGGTGCATTGTGGCGTCATATGGGTCTGAAACGAGTGCGATCCATTTGCCTGCCTGGTATTTTAATTACTTGTTGTTTGGCCTCCCATTCGAGCACCGTATCGAACCGAAGTTTAACAGATTTTTTCCAGCTTTGTTTGCACATCTCTCCTGATTTTTTCCCGGATACCTTTTACATCCGACTGCCCCGCCATCAATCATAAATATTCGTGGAGTTGGGTCGTGGTCACATGTGCGTATGTCTCGTATTTCCATTCCCCCCAGTTCATATTTTTTTTCCCCCTTCGGCCACGGGATTTGTTATGCCGACCACAGAATGTAATTAGCAGCAAATGTCGATGCTTTATGGACCAAACGATGACCATGGATTGGAGGAGGGAGTGGGAGTGGGAGTGGGAGGGGGTGATTGGTCAACAGCTGGGGCAACCATTTAATGTCTGGGTAATCGGCTGCAGAGGGAGTTCGATTGGGTGATTGCGAATTGGGGGATTGGTTGCGACATCATTAGCGCTCGTCACCTGTACAGTGAGCAATGGATATTTGATGACCCTCTGCTGCTGGGTTTGCCCAACAAGATAACAAGTCGGAGGTCCTCTTCGGTTAGTCATTTGATTAAATTCAGCTTTCAGCTACTAAGAAAGCTAAACTCTAAAGCCTCCTCCACGAATACCTGAAAGTCAATTTATTGTACATGATTAACTAGTATAATTAACAAACATGTACATCTGGGAAAAACAAACTTGCGCGTTTAATATGAAAAGCCACATAAGTTTTAAGCTTTATTGCCCACTTTGATTTGGGAAAAGTTGATACTTAAATTGCTTAAGCTTTTACAAGAGGATGTGCATAAGTAAAAAATGCACCAAAAATAAAATCAAGAAAAAGGCACACCCATTTAAATATTTTAATAAAATTACAATCAAATCCATTTTTAAATGTAGTGAGTATGTTAACTTTATGGTTATAAATAACCAAATTAAATTATGAACTTATTTGTTTTATATACTTGAATATTTATTTTTCTACAAGTGTTTTGCATTATCTTTAGTAAAATATTTTTTTAATTATTGATATATTTCCTATTGATATTTTTCATTTTTATATTATTCCCGTTAATTCTTCTTCATTTTTTGAATATTTTTTAAGCCCCCATGCAGTTTTTTCCTGCCAAAGTTAAGTGCGTTTTAAATGGACAATCCATTTGGCGCCAAACTAAGCTTCCTCTTTTGACATTTTGACAACTTGAATCTTAATTCGCATAATCTTACCGCCCCAAAAAAGTGTGCAATACATTTGAAATTCCCTCTGCATTCATGGCACTCGATTCATTCATTTCGCATTTTTATTTCTGTTATTTTTGCATTCCACCGATATGAGTTTGATTTGGGCACAACGCACACATCCTTTGATCCCCGCAACGAATCCTGCATTTGTTTTGCCATGCTCTTGAACTATTTTTTGGCTGCTTTATTGACGCCTTGCTTTTGATTTATGAATCCATGGCAGAGTGGGTGAAATGAACATGTTAGGCTGCAGCTAAGGTCGAGCTGCAGTGCCACGCCCACTCGCTTTTCCGCCCATCCACATTGACATCCTTAAATGGCCAAATGGTGGGCGATGAGAACAGAAAATGGCAACTGGCAAATGCGGAACACAGTGAAATTGAATTTTTTCGGCTTCAGCCTTTGTTTGGCATGTGCTGTTTATTTTTTTGGTCTCAGCTTACATGGCAAAAAGTCAGACAATGTTAAAAAAAAGTGAAATAAAAAAAATACATACATACATTCAGACAGTAGCCACATAGGCGCAGACAGTTTTTATTTATCACCCAAGCTCACCATCGACATGTGGAATGGGCAGGTGGGGCAGGATCAGGAGCAGGATCTGGAGCAGGAGTCGCACTGGGTGGCAAATGGCCATCAACAACAGGCACAGAGTCAGTCAGTTAGCCAGCTGATGAGACGATAAGGGAAAGCAGACAGCCGCAGGATGGGAGGATGTCAGCCAGGACATGAGTCCAGCGTCCCATGTCCAGTGTCCACTGTCCAGTGTCCAGTTCAATTCGTCCCCCATCGATGCGAGTGTGTCCGAAATTATATTAGCAACCACATGGCAAGCCAAAAGGGAGACACAGCATCCACTCGATATGAAGGAAGGGGCTGAGGATCCACAGAATGTCGTATTTATTGACGTGTTTATACGGCACTTGTCGGACTTAAAGCCACTTTGAATGCAAACTATGCATGGGGTTTAACCGTACATCAATCTTTTTCAAACAATTTGCACTAGTTTACATACTCGGAAATTATCATTTTTTAATAGCAATATGCTAATGCTTAGATTATGATTGTCAAAGATGCGGAGAAAAAAAACTTTCAAAACAGAAATATATTTGTAGTTTAACTTTCGGTCTAAGACTAAGAAAGTGAATTCGACTTATTTACTTTTTTTGTATTTGTTTAATTTTATAAAAATAATAATAAACTAAAA